AACATCCACACACACCCTCCTCCACACCCCACATACACCCACATTCCCCCACAAACCCTATACCCACCTACCCACACCACCCCATCCCAATATACAAGAGTAGGACTTCATTTTGAGCTATTATGCAGTCACCTCTACATACGTTATGCAAACACACACAGATCAGGACAAAATATTTTTTTAAATAAAATTAAAATATGTTATAGTAGATGTTTGATTCTGGGTACATAATTTTTTTTCTAGTTCCAACATGACAACCCCACCCCCTCCCAAAAGGAGTACTTCTTGGAGCAAGGGGATGGACTTCCGGTTGCAAAGGTCAGGGGTTATAGGCAGGACTTTCAGTCCCAAGATGGCGGCCAGGGCCCTTAACAGCTCACCAAAAATCATTAAGTGGCCCTCCAGCCAAAATAATTGCCCACCCCTGTTCTAAATCCAGGAGCAAAAAAGCAAATGAGATCTTCCCTGTCTCCTGTAGCTGACTTCATATCTCGCAATGCATACACCAATATAAAGAAGCCTCTGCAAACCTCTTCACTTTGCCATAGTTTACCACGTTTTCTGTTTAGATAGGTCACAGTTCATCAAGGCAAAATACAAATTTGATAGTAATTTCACTGATAAAGGGCTGAAGCAAGAAAAATCTAGGGACTTTGATTTGCCCCCACTCTCTGGCCCAATCAAATCCACAAGGGCAGGGCTCTACCTTGATGGGCAATATTAGGCAATATGTTTGTTTATAAAAATAGCAGTGTAGTCAGAGACAGCTCTGCTCTTGGTGGAAAGATGCTTAAAGGTACTCTCCAGGCAGCCATTCACAGTTGACTTTCTTACATACCCACACAAAGGAAGTGGCTCAACATATAGCCTCTACACAGCTGTAACCATCTTGGTGAGGTGGCATTACCGTTATACTAACATATACTGTACAGTTATACAGGTACAACCTTAGCATGGATGTGTCTGAATTAGCATCTTATAAAAGTAGGGCTGGAAAGGACTTCAGAAGATCATCTAGTTCAACCCTCTGCCCCAGGCAGGATCATTCCTATCTAAACCATTCTATACAAGTGTCCATCTAGCCCAGGGGTTCTCAACCTCCATCCTGTGGGCCAAATCCAGCCCATGGGGCCATGTAGCCTGGCCTGTGGGGTTTCCCATGGGTCCATAAACTTGGTGGTGAGGGAGCTGTGGCAGCATTAAGTGCCATGGCTCCCTCACTGTCAAATTTCTGGACCTGTAGGGAGCTCTATGGGCCAGATGACATAGTCCCATGCACCAGATAGCACTAGCACACGGGCTCGGGCTGCAGCCAGATCCGGGGTGCAGGACCGGGCTGGCATGTGGGGCTGGGCCGTAGCTACATCTGGTGCATGGGACTGGATCAACATGCAAGGTTGTTTCACAACCGGATCTGGCACACTGAGCCAGGCCAACATGGTGGATTCCACCTGTGGACCAAGCTTCTGCACCAACCTCATGCTGAATCTGGCCCATGGACCAAATGTGCTCATAGCTAGCTCTGAACCACTCATCCAGCCCATGGGAGCAGAAGGTTGAGCACCACTGATTTAGATTATTCCAAAGCTACACAAAAACCCTGTTGTACAACTACTACAGCCAAAGCCCCAAAACATAAAGGATACCCCAAATGGTCACAAGTAAAGAAGAGGGGTGAGGGGACTGTCAATGTCCTGCTATGGCATGAACAAGTAGTAGTTTGTTAAATTACACTTGAGAGATCCAAGGAAGAAAATAATGTCCCCAACTAGAGGGGAAGGCAAAAGCTCCCACAGTCCACAATGTGATCTGACAGTGTGGTAAAAATTGGTAAAATTCCTTCCTGATTCCAATGTGGCAATTAGTCTTGCTGGGGGAATCCAAGGCCACCACAGACAGAGGGCACCCCACCAGCCTGTCTCACCCACCCCACTGGGGTGTGGGGGAGGCCCTTGGTCCTCGACCTCCGGGTTGCTGATACCTGACATTCAAGAAAGAACCTTAGGGTGAAGCTCGCATACTGGTCAGACATACCTTCCCTCTGTGACGGCCATAGGACCAGTAGATATAACATTGTTTGCCTTGCCTGCTTTATTCTTATCTGCTATCACTGTGTATCAATAAAATTGCCTATTATCAAGTAGGGAAGTCATGGTCAGTCTGAAGGTTTGGGTCTGCCTGGAACAAGGTATCTGGGTCATAAATCCAGTGCCAGAAAGTCTGAATCTGAGCAGAGGAGTGGGCCTCTATCCAGGAACCTCTCCCAGCAGAAGCATCAGCACATCCCAGTCAAAATGCCCAGAATTGGCTGTAGCCACCACCCAACATTTCAGAAGGTGAAAAAACACACCCGCAAAACCCCAAAAATCCTGACATCTGAAGCAAACAGAGGGGGGGAAAAAAATCTCCTTCCTGGTCCCATGCGGTAACCAGCAAAGCCCAAAAGTATGGGAAAACCAAACACCGTCCACGCTGCACAGCAATCTGGGGACCTCAAACACAACTCCATACATTATAGACACTAACTGATGAGCCAGAACTCCCCTTTCTGTCATCCTATTCCCTCCATAAATCTGTCTTAGCTCTTCAGTCCTCTTCTATAAACAAGATGTTTGTTAAACTTTGCTTCAATCTGTTGCTGCTGAGCAATTTCTACTTGCTCTGGGCTGCAGAGCTCTTGTGATCTCCGAGTGATGCATGTGTGGGGGTCTCCTGGGCTTCCCCTACTACAGTTATGCCTTACAGTGGCATAGCTCCTTCCCAATTCAGAACTGATGTGTTAGTATGAGCACTAGCCTCCTATGGGAGAAAAGGCTGCAGCCCTGCTCAGCATTCTATTAAGA